AATTTCACTACTCAACCCCTCAATCTTAAAAACATACAAAAAGGAGTTCAACTCACTTTTCAACAAATATTTCATGGTCAACATAAAATGTGCCCAACTCTCACTTGCATTGGTATTTTGGCCTTATCAAAAATATCATACTTCACAAACTCACTCCCTAAGGCCTAAAATACACTTATAACTCACAAACGCATGATACAAGTAAGAATCAAAAATGGATAAATCCTAGTTGGCAATTTAAATTATCAAATACACATAATGACTCAAAAATAAAGAGGCTTACTAAATAGGATTGCAGTCCTAAGCTTCTTGTGTAACAGATCTCACCCCGCCTCCCTGAGGTCTTTTGATCTGGGCCCTAACCCCTCACAGGGCCCAAGCTGGCATTCAGCACTGTGTATAGTGCTTATTCCTCACCCCACTCAAGAGGTCTTTTAGAACCTCCACAGATTCGATCCCGCAACCACTACCACCTTAGCGTAGTTGAGGCTGAATCCGGTACCATTGAGTACTCAATGGTACTGGATTCAGCCTCAACTACGCTAAGGTGGTAGTGGTTGCGGGATCGAATCTGGGGAGGTTTCAAAAGACCCCTGTGAGGGTGGGGTAAGGAATACGCTCAGTACCACCTAGGCTAAAGCCGGCAATTATGTGGTGACATGTGTGTTGTCCAGCGCTGGAAAAAGACCTTGGAGAGGCAGTGGTGACCCAGAGGGCTGTTACATAAAAGGCACCTTTTATGTAATAGTCACACCCCCCGAGCCTACTGCTGCAAGTGGTGGACTGGGCCGTGCCACCTCACGGCAACCACCAGCCGGCTTTCCCCATAATAGTTCATGGGTTATTCCTCGCACCTACTGCTCTAAGGGAGCCTTCTCAGGTTCGATCCTCCAACCTCTCCTACATAGCGAAGTTGAGGCTGAACCTGATACCACTGAGTCAACTTCGCTATGTAGGAGAGGTTGGAGGATCAACTTGAGAAGACTCCCTTAGCGCAGTGGGTACGGGGAATAACCCATGAACTACCGTGGGAAAGCTGGCTGTTGGTTGCCGTGAGGTGGTACGGCCCAGTCCACCACTCACAGCAGTGGGCTCGGGGGGTGTGACTGTTACATCTTGTCGCTTTCCTCTATCCGATCCTCTTGAGCTATTCCTTGAAATATTAAAAATAGTAGAGTGAGTACAACCACTCAGTAAACAAAGTTTAACCAACTTATACTAATACATGTCAATTAATTTAAATGCAACTGGTAGGAATAATCAATTCTCTAAACCAATAAAACGTTTAAGAGTATGAATTCACATTTTTAGGCATAGTAGCACATATTTGAAAAATAACACTTTTTAACAATTTTCATATCAAAAAGAGTTTGTCACATGATTCAATGACATATACTCGAAAGTGATTAAGACTCAATTCATGAGTATCCTCATTAAGGTCACAATATAGACAACTATATGGCCTTACTCACTATATACATGATCATACCTCCCTTATATCCTCCTTATTCTTTTGATATGAAACCGTGGGCTATAACACAATAGGATAGTCTATAATTCATGACTTCCCTAACCTAAATACTTGTGAGGAGATTGCTCGACCAAAGCTCACCTAACTCACTTATGGAACATAATTTTTTTCATTTTCTCACACTATGGGGTGCCATGCTTCCTAAACTAGCTTCCTTGTTGAACTAGTGGATAGTTAATTAAGTTTGAGTTTTTCGTTGAACCAGTGGGATAGTCCCTCATTGAACAAGTAAGACAATATAAATATAATTAATTCGGACAAGCCATCACTCAAATGGGAGCCCTACCATCTAGATTTAATTCTCTACTCCTCTTTTTAGATGAACTCCCACTTCTCAAAATCATGCAATGCATATTCATACAATAATTCACATTTAACATAATTCATAGAACTCCACATAACCAATTTCATTAAACTTTATCATTTTACAAATCATTGAACTCCTTAAACACATTTTCATTAAACTTCAAATCAAACAAGTCATTGAACTCCAAATTTCAAAATTATTGTACCTCATATGTTCAGACTCATTGAACTTCGTAAATTTTAAAATTATTAAACTCCTAGCAACTCAAATCATTAAACTCTCAATTACACAAATCATTGTACTCCATGTTTTTATAATCATTATATCTCAATTATTGAAAATCATTGAACTCTAAAATTTTAAAATCATTGGACTATATTAAATCACCACTCTAATAATGGGCTATTCAAACAAAACAAGCCACATTTGTATTTTATCCAATTTCACACAATTCAATTATCAATTATTATTCAACAAACTAATTAACACATAAAAGTACAAGATAGCATTCCCCTAATTACCTCAAACCTTTGAGAGGTCAAAGATTTCACCCCTTAAATACTCAATCCCAAGACATCTAAAAACTTAGAATGGTGCCAAAGATAGTCACTCTACAAGCATTTATAATGTACATCATCAATATCTACATTTAGGCTAATTTTCACTAATAATTCAATACTTCTTAATACTCAAGATTTATTCTTAACTCATATAAAAGTATCCATAAGGTTTCTTAGCTTCCTTTGACCCTCATTAACATCATTGAGCTTTTTAATCATCATTAATGAGATTACATTGTTCCCAACCAACATATTTATGAGGATTTTCAGACATTTAATGTCCCTCATCCACCAACCATCATATATTTGTAAAATTAAATTTACTTAGCTTAATCTACTCTTATTAACTCTATTTAAGTCAATGGGTTCGAACCTTTAACCCTTATAAATCAAAAATCACTATTATCAACCAAACCCTAACTTCTACCATCAAGAAAATTGAAGAAGAGAGAAATATTTGAGTATAGGAAGCTTATCTTTAATGTTTATGAGTTTCAAATTACTCCTACTAGTCAGTTTCTTCAAGCCCTAACACGACTTATTAGACCCTCTCTCAAAAATCTCTCTTTTTCTTTATTTTTGCAAGCTATAGACAGGCCTATTTCTACAGAAAAATGTTCATACGCTACAACAGATGCATAATATTGCGGAGCGCAGGGCACAGAGAGGGCTTTCCAAGCATTTCAACATGCGTGCGCTGCAGCGCCTAATCCACAAGCCGCAGTATGTGGCACAGAACCTTGCCCCTCTAGAATTTCTTCCTCTTTCATTCTCGGGTGACTTGATTCTCCTTCAGACCCACGTTTAAGGCTAAAATTGAAACCAAACAAGCTCATTAAGCTTCTCTAGTCACACACTTCGCTAATACACTTAATTAATCTGATTTAGCTAATTAAATTTGGTTTGAAATTGAAAATGTTACAATAGTCTTGTCATACAATAGCGCTGCTACAAAAATGACCATACTTCTATGATGATTGAACCTAAAGAAAAGTGCAAGGGGTCGATGATTCCGATTAGTTCTATATGTTGTGTCCAATGATATAACTTTACCGAAATATACATAATCTATTAGCATACAAGCATCAACCCAAAAAATATTAGTGGTGTGTTGGTCTAAGTCCAACTAATATTTGTGATAGAATACTTAAGTTTCTGCATTTTATTTTTGAAAATATTGAAGCATACATCCTACCTCTCCAAACTTTATACATCTTTTCTTTTTGAACTCCAAGTAGTTATTCGCATCTTTCATGATATACCTAAAATTTTCTTGACCACCAACATATATATTCAATAATTTAAAAGTAGCCATTGGTTGAAGCCTAAATTCTTGTGCAAGAGCTATCTCATATGCCTAAGCTTTCAATAAATTTATCTAGGATGGTAACAAGCAAATTGTGTCCTCTGTATGAAGAGGGTGTTAATGTTCCTTATCAAACATAATAATTTTGAATTTTTGTCAAATAAGAGATACTACAATTCTTACCTTACACTTGGTCCTTGTTTCTAGCCTATGTATTAGAGAATATATTCTTTTTTCATTTTTTTTCTCCAAACACCTTTCTTACAACATAAATATCTATATACGAAAATAATGTACTTTATCTTTTTACTCTTTGTAAAAGTACTCTTTCTAACTCCAAATTTATTTTTTAATTATATTCTCTTCAGAACTTTCATGCCTCGTCTAAACTTTCAAATTCCCTCTTTGATTTGAATTTTAATTCATCCTCTACTTGCATGATTCTTGCATAGAACAAAAGTATTATCTATATTTTTTATACCATTTTTCAAAACAAAAAAAAAGGAGATAATAGAATACGCACATATCATTTTTATTACAGAACATACACAGATAGAACTTATCCCTCAATCATTTCCTTTCTTTCGTCTTGTCTTGTTATTATATATATATATATATATATATATATGTCATCCAATATTACATTTAGTATTTATCATTTTTATTTAATTTTATTAATTTCTTAAGCTATCTCTAACATCAGTTAAACAAAAAAAGAACAACAACAATAGAAAGCTTGAGCATTCTCGGGGGAAAAAAAAATTGTTCCATGATAAAGCTTACCAAAAAAATGACCAGAATGAAGACACAAGATCCCTCCCTCCACTTGAAAGAACGCTTTATATAAACCTAAAGCTCAATGAAAGGTGAAAAATAGGCGCCAAAACAATGCCTTTCTCCCTCCCTCCTGTTGATCTTACTTAGAGCATGAAGGCGTCAAACAGAGTTGAAAAACCGAACATCCTTATTTTTTAAAAAAAGTCTAATAAAATAAAAATAATTAATGATTAAAATTAACACTCAATGAATGGCCTAAATTTTTTCTCTTTAACAAAATAGTGCGAACGAACGACGTGCACTTTTATGCTCAACATATGCAGAGCACTAAAGATGATCCTGAATTAACTCTAAGTTTAGAGGCAACAAATTTATAAATTAAAAGATAAAATTAATTTTAAATTGGAGATGAATAATATTTTTCTTTAAATATATATATATATATATATGATAAAAAACACATAAAAAAATTTTTATGATTAAAATACACTTTTACCAAATTATTAAAAAAAATTGTCAAATTTTGTAATGAAACGTATCATTTTACAATTGGTTTGTTGTAATTTACAATATCACTCACTCACTGCGTCTTCCCAAAACAATGTCACTGTCAATTCCCACAAATTCCGCCCACGAGTTTAAAAGAACAAGAAATTAAAGAATTAAGAAGGAAGACAACATGACATTACAGAGGGAAAATCAGCTTACATTTAATTACAAAACCACACTCATCAAAACCAAAAACCCAAGTGAAATTTTACAAGCATCCACAGCGTTGAGAATTTCTGATGCATATGACAAACATTCACGAGCATAAACCCAGAAAGACAGCAGGCATAAGCAAAGAATCCTCATTCATTATTCTCAACCCGAGATCTCAATGGCCTTAACCTCAGGCTTTTTGACCTCTTCCTTGGGAACAGTGACAGTGAGAACCCCATTCTCCATGGAAGCCTTCACTCGATCCATTTTGGCGTTCTCCGGCAGCCTGAATCTCCTCAAGAACTTGCCACTGCTACGCTCCACACGGTGCCACGTGTCGTTCTTGTCTTCTTTCTCCACCTTCCTCTCTCCGCTTATCTGAAGCACACTGTTGTCTTCGATCTCAACCTTGACCTCCTCCTTCTTCAGCCCTGGAAGATCGGCTTTGAAAACGTGTGCCTCCGGGGTCTCCTTCCAGTCAATCCGAGTTCCGACGAATACAGAATTTTCCCGGTAAATAGTTGAGAGAGAAGAAGGAAAACGAAAGTCCTTGAAGGGATCCCAGACATCGAGAGAGAAGGGATCGAAAACGCTGCTCCTCCGCTCGCCAAAAAAATTAGGAATCAACGACATTTTCGAATTATGGAGATTGAGAATTGAAAGAGATTAAAAAAGTGTGTCCACGATGCTACGGATTTATCACGAATTAATTAAGAATGTTTTGTTGGTGAAGGAGGGGCATACATCAGGTATTTAAAAGCGAAGGAGGGAGAAATCTAGTACTTTCGTGCTCACTCTCAGATACTTCGAGAAGGGCCGTGAAAATGGAAGCCTCCAGATACCTGAAATGGAGACCTTCGGTTAAAAGAGTTTAAAAAAAAAAAGAAAATAAATAAAATAAATTATAAAATCCTCGCCTATAAGGAAATGGGATAGCTAAAAATTAAAAAAAATAATAAAATAAATTATAAGGTCCTCGTCCGCAGAGAAGTAAAATAGTTTCGAGCGATAGTCATTCCATCGTAATGACGAATTTGTATATAGAGAAATCTAGTGCTTTCAAGATTCTTTCTGATATTTCCAGAAGGTCCTCGTCTTTCACGAGAATTCTGGCGTCCCGGAACCAGATTATTGCTTGGGCTTTGGAGTTTGAAGGCATTGTGGAAAGAAATAGAATAATGTAAAGTAAAAAATAAAATTAAAAAAAAGATGATGGAAGGCCAATTATTTATACAAAAAAATAATTTAATTTATAAAATTAATAGTTACTCTTTTCATTTATAAATATAAATTATTTTTAATTAAATTTTATCCTCAATAAAATACTTATTTATTTTTTAACTAACTCCATTTTTTCATATTTACTTCTATTAAACATCCTATAAAAAATATAAAATTATTATTAATAGGGACATTTAAAAAAAATGATGATGACACTTTGAAAAATAAAAAATATCTTATATTTTTTAGTATCCAACTCCTCAAAAAATACTTTATATTTTTAAACGGAGGGAGTATAATTTATAAAATTTTATATAAACTAGATTTATGCTGCAAGAGAATATTTTAGTTTTTGAAAATAAAAATAAAAATAAATATTAAAAAATTATTTTAATATCCTTAAAATAAAATATATTATTTTTTCCTTTATTTTATCTTGCATATGTAATTTTTATTTTTAAAATTTATACAAATTTATCTTAAAATTAATGGTTAAGAGTTACTCCCTCCGTTTAAAAATGTAAGACATTTTTAACCAAATCTAATCTCAATAAGTAGTTATCTACTTTCTAACTAACACTATTTTTTCATATTTATCTTTATTAAATAGTTTACAATAAATATAAAGTCATTATCAATAAGAACATTTAAAAAAAAAAGATAATGATTACATTTTAAAAAATTCATGACTTATATTTTTTAATATTCAACTTTTTAAAAAATACTTTATATTTTTCAATGGAGAGAATACGAAATACGAGTATGCCTTCTACTTTTAAATTTTAATTTTCACCCATCTAATCATTAGCTAACAATTACTATTCTTGATATACTCTTTTAAATTTTTATTTATATTTTAAACTTTTTAGTCATACAAACTAATTTATTTATTATTTTTAAAAAAATGAAATACATATTCTATTTTTTAAAAAATATAAGACATTTTTAATCAAATCTCATTACCATAAAATAGTTATTTATTTTTAAAATAACACTATCTTTCCACATTTATTATTTAATTAGGTGTTTTACACTAAAATAAATATAAAATAATTTATTCATTATGAGAATTTAAAAAAATCAATGATTATACATTTAAATACTAAAAATATTTTATATTTTTTGACATCAAACTCTTAAAAAAATCATAAAAAATACTTTATATTTTGTAACGAATGGAATAAATTTACTAAAAGAATATTTGAAACACACATATGCAAATAATACAATGATTATTAAGAAAATATTAGGTGTACAGTAAAAGATAAATTCATTAATATTATATAATTAATTTATAGCTCATAATTTTTATTACTCAAACCTAAGGCACATAATTACGTTAATATTTTTTATAGGTTTTCAAATCATGATTAACTTTTACATATAAATAATAAAATAATAAATTTTTATTCTTTATACATTTGAAGAATATAAACAAAAACTTGTTCTATAACTATTTTAATTTGTTACCCTGTATTAATAATAAATAGTCCCTTCGCTAAAAAATATAGGTCATTTTTAACTGAATCTCATTCTAATAAAGTGGTTACTTGTTTTCAAAGTAATCTCATTTTTTATATTTACCCTTATTTAATATGATGTTTTATCCTAAAATAAATATAAAGTGATTTATTCAATATGAGCACTTTTAAAAAAAAGGTAATAATTGCACCTTAAAAAATTAAAAATATCTTATATTTTTAAAATATAACCTTTCAAAATATGATTTACATTTTTTAATGGAGAGAGCATATACAAAATTTGTTGTATATCTAACACCGATTATTTTACTAAAAATATTATATTCACCATCAACTTTTAGTACAAAATCCTACATAAGATCTAAAATATAAAAATATTATTATTTTTTACACCTAATTTAAATCTTTAAAATTTATAAATGTAGACTCTGCTCATATTTTTTAATGGTAGGTCCTACACACAATTTTTTTAAATCACACTACTTTATTTTTTAAAAATCAAGTTTATTAAATATTACATTTCCTCCATTAATTTTAGAGCATCAATTCATACCGAGTTTAAAATATCTATACATATAAAATTTGTGGTCAAACATGACTTTTAATATCTTTAGTTTTTGAATTTATTTAGGTTGATTTAACTATCTTAAATTATTAAAAATTATTTTATTTTAATTTTTTTATTGAATCCATACACTGTGTCTTTAAATATCTTCTTTGGCCAATTTGTATATTTAATTTTTTAAAAAAAGTTACAAAATAAATACATTTAAATAATAAAAAATATTTTTTTTGTAATCTACATGGTTTTTGGACAACATTTATAATTAAATAAGGATATTTTAGCCCAACATACATAATTTAATAGTTAACTAATAGTTAGATAAATGAAAATAAAATTTTAAAAATAAAAGGATGGCTTATATTTTATAACTATTATACTAAAAAAAATTCATATAAGTTTTAAAAAAATAAAAGAAATACATCATTAATTAAGATAAAAATAAATAAAATATTTTTTTATTTTTAAATATAAGTTTCATATGTACCGTACCCATCTAAAAAATTAAAAAAAAAAACAAAGAAAAATTAGATTCATAATAAGCTTTTTTAAAAAAATGAAAAATTCAAATCATATTGTAGATGTACAGTAACAAATTAAAAAAAAAAGAAGAAGAAAAGTTGGATGGTAGGTCCTGTCGATCAGTGTTACAATAGTACAGGATAAAAAAAGGGAAAACAGGGGGTATTTTCGATAAGTCACTGTTCATTTACTGTCAAATGATATTGTAGATGCACAGCGCCATCAGATGGCAACAAATTAAAAAGACAGAAGGAGAGGAAGATAAAGTTGGATGGTAGGTCCTGTAGATCAGCGTTACAATAGTACAGGATAAAAAAAAAAAGTTAAAAAACTGGGGGTATTTTCGATAAGCCACTGTTCATTTACTGATCCAAATTTATATAAATATAGATATGCCCCATCAGGTTACAGGTAATTTTTTTATGTAAGGAGGAGCCAGCACTAAACAAAAGGTGGCGTGTTTTTGGGGGGACTAGAAAGCAAAAACCAAAGAAGTAGTGCATCTTATTTGTAAGCGTGACACCAACCAAAAGCCAACACATACAATTCTCTAAAGATAAATTTGACATCCAGGTAAAAAAAAAAAAAAGATAAATTTGACAAATTTAAAATGTTAAAAATACAAATTTTCATTTTTTAAATTTTACTTTTATTTTTATTGCATCGGCAATTTACTCCTTCTCCTCTTCTATGCTGCGTGTCTATTATCCCCATGTTTGAGAAGCTGTCATTAAATGAAAAGAAACTCATCAGCTAAAAAAAAAAAATGAAATTGAAAGGTTGAACTCATCTTTCTTAATAATATCTGGAAAATTTCGAGAGTTAAAAGTGACAATTTTACACCAGAATTTAATTTAGTATTTTTTAAATGATTTTATTATTTTATTATTTTTAAACTTTAAAAAAGAATATAAAATTTCATCCTTTGTAACATTTCAAATTTACTTAATTAAAAAATATTACACGAAATTAAATTAATTTATGTAGAATAATTTTTACTGCCTCATAATATAAACAAATATTATTTTTTTGCTTGCTTTGTCTGTATTATGGATGATTAATTATTATAGATAAATTAATTCAGATTTCAAGTAAGCTTTTTCCATAAAGTAAATTAACGGTATGTTAAAGAGAAAAAAATATTATATTTTAAAGTTGAAACATTTAAAATAATTTCATAAAATAAAATTATACTACACTGAAATTTATATAAAAGTAAAAGACTAAATATATTTTCTTTGTTTAAAAAAAATCCCATATTTACTTTAAGAGAAAATGAAAAATAAATTAATATTAAAATAAATCATAAAAGCATATTAAACGGTAGTGTAAAATAAATAAAAATTTACTACAAACATTCTCTTATTATATAAGTAAATGTGCTTGTGCATGAACTCCTAATTCTTAAAATTTTTTATTTTAATATCTTAAATCTCTTAACATTTATGTCTTACATATCAATATATCATATCCCCTGTGAATGTCTTGAAAGAATTTTTTATGGTTAATGATTTATAAGTTATAAATAACCTTTAAAGGTTACATATTATATCATTCTATTTTTCAGTTCTTTATAATATTAAAATTAGACTTTAATGATTGAAAGCTTGTAAAAGATTTAAAGCTATAAATAAATAAAGCATCGGTACCCTTAGTAAATAAGAAATATTCCCTCCTGGAATCCTAAAGTGTGTTTGCATTTTAATTGAAAAAAATTGATTATAAAAAAATAAAAATGATAATATTTGAATAATATTTTTTGACAAAATATTTTGATAATTTTTCAGAATTACTTATAAAGATGGGAAAAATGAAAAATGTTCAAATGTTAAAAATTGATTATGAAATGGAGAAAAAAATAACATCTCCAAAATAAAGTTTCACAAGCCAAATAGATTTTTACAAAATAGAGAAAAAATAAATTTTTTTAATATTCTAAGTCCTTTTAGTTTGTTTTCTCAACTATAATGTTGTTTCCTCTACTTTTAAATATATTTTTAGAGGGACAATAATATGGTACTAACTATGTTAAATCACT